GACTTCATCAAGATAAAAACCTTTTGCAAAGCAAAGGAAACGGTCAACAAAACCAAAAGACAACTGACAGAATGGGAGAAGATATTTGCAAATGACATATCAGATAAAGGGCTAGTATTCAAAATCTATAAAGAACTTATCAAACTCAACACCCGAAGAACAAAGAATCCAATCAAGAAATGGGCAAAAGACATGAACAGACATTTCTGCAAAGAAGACATCCAAATGGCCAACAGACACATGAAAAAGTGCTCAATATCGCTCGGCATCAGGGAAATCCAAATCAAAACCTCAATGAGATACCACCTCACACCAGTCAGAATGGCTCAAATTAACAAGTCAGGAAACGACAGATGTTGGCGGGGATGCGGAGAAAGGGGAACCCTCCTACACTGTTGGTGGGAATGCAAGCTGGTGCAGCCACTCTGGAAAACTGTATGGAGGTTCCTCAAAAAGTTGAAAATAGAGCTACCCTATGATCCAGCAATTGCACTACTGGGTATTTACCCCAAAGATACACATGTAGGGATCCGAAGGGGTACATGCACCCCGATGTTTATAGCAGCAATGTCCACAATAGCCAAACTGTGGAAAGAGCCAAGATGTCCATCGACAGATGAATGGATAAAGAAGAGGTGGTATATATATATACAATGGAATATTATGCAGCCATCAAAAGGAATGAGATCTTGCCATTTGCAACGACGTGGATGGAACTGGAGGGTATTATGCTGAGCGAAATAAGTCAAACAGAAAGACATGTATCCTATGACCTCACTGATATGAGGAATTCTTAATCTCAGGAAACAAACTGAGGGTTGCTGGAGTGGGGGGTGGGGTGGGAGGGATGGGGTGACTGGTGATAGACACTGGGGAGGGTATATGCTCTCGTAAGTGCTGTGAATTGTGCAAGACTGTTGAATCTCAGATCTGTACCTCTGAAACAAATAATGCAATATATGTTAAGGAAAAAAAAAAAGAAGAAGATAGCAGGAGGGGAAGAATGAAGGGAGGGAATCAGAGGGGTAGACGAACCATGAGAGACAATGGACTCTGAAAAACAAACTGAGGGTTCTAGAGGGGAGGGGGGTGGGAGGATGGGTTAGCCTGGTGATGGGTATTGAGGAGGGCACGTTCGGCATGGAGCACTGGGTGTTATGCACAAACAATGAATCATGGAACACTACATCTAAAACTAATGATGTAATGTATGGGGATTAACATAACAATAAAAAAATTTTAAAAATATATATATATTCATCAAGTCATCGAGAGCAAATACTAGCCGTGTGAATTGTGAATGGCCCCATCAGTTAATATATTTTGCAAAGAAAAAAAAAAAAGAGAAAAGAAGCTTTTTAGGAGCTCCACAACTGGGGACGCTTGCAGTTCTCGGCACCAGGCCCAGCTTCCTTCAAAATGTCTACTGTTCACAAAATTCTCTGCAAGCTCAGCTTGGGCGGTGATCACTCCACGCCCCCAAGTGCATATGGGTCAGTCAAAGCATACACCAATTTTGATGCTGAGCGTGATGCTCTGAACATTGAAACGCCATCAAGACCAAAGGTGTGGATGAAGTCACCATTGTCAACATTTTGACCAACTGCAGCAATGAACAGAGACAGGATATTGCCTTCGCCTACCAGAGAAGGACCAAAAAGGAACTTGCATCAGCACTCAAGTCAGCCTTGTCCGGCCACTTGGAGACCATGATTAATCATGAAGGGCAAGGGGACTCGTGATAAAGTCCTGATTAGAATCATGGTCTCTCGCAGTGAACTGGACATGTTGAAAATTAGGTCTGAATTCAAGAGAAAGTACGGTAAGTCCCTGTACTACTACATCCAGCAAGACACGAAGGGTGACTACCAGAAAGCGCTGCTGTACCTGTGTGGTGGGGATGATTGAGGCCCACGACGGATGAACACCCAGGAGTGGTGCTCCTTTGTTTCCAGCTAACAGTTCTAGAAAATAGCTTGTGACTAACAGTCTCCCTGTGCCTGTCCCCGTGAGGATAGCATTAGCATCACCCCCTCCCCATCCTTATGTCAGTTGCCTAAGCATTGCCTGCCTCTCATGTCTAGTCTCTCCTTTTAGCCAAAGAAATGAACATTCCAAGGAGTTGGAAGTGAAATCTATGATGTGAAACAATTTGCCTCTTGTGTACTGTGTCATAAACAGATGAATAAACTGAATTTTTAATTAAAAAAAAAAAAAGCTTTTTAGGCACCTATTTTACAATTGAGGCTCCCAGGCACTGAGGCTCCCAGGCCCTGGTCACATAGAGCTGGTGTAAAGACAGGGTCTCCTCTCCACACTTCTAATGCCCTATACAACACCACTATAGGCCACATTCAACATACAGTACAAACTTGAGCCTAACAACAACAGAAATGATGCCAGGCTTGGGCCCACCAAAGAGGAAATAAAACCAAAATGATATCATATGGTTGACATCAACATTCAGAAACAAAGGTACTTAAAATTATCAAGTGACCCTTTCGGGGTCTACACACTTACCAGACCTTAAGAAAGCTGGAGGAGAAGAGACGATGGCATCAGGTGAGCTGGCCATTTCAAATTGTTGACTCTAATCATAAGCATCGCAGGCTAAACTACAGCAATTTTCAAAACTGTTTAGTGAAGGTTAGAAGCAATCAGCGTTAAATTAATTGAAAGCAGTGTCAGCAGTTATTAACATAATGCAGTGTGCAACAAAGGCAATAATTGAGGTTCATTATAATTTTATTTTCTTTTTAATGACTTGAAAATTTGATTTTCTTTGCTTTGATAAATTATATTTGCTTATGTGGATGAGGCAGGAAATATATAATATCCACTTATTAAACATTACATAAGTGTAGCATCCTCTATCCAGCAGTGAAGTGCTTATGCTACTATGTAACAATGCTCAGAACTTTGCAGTGCCATCTATCTCAGAGTCAGGTTAGCCCAAGTTTCAAACTAAGCTCAGTTTATATATTCTTTTAAAAGTAACAAACAGAATCAGGTTGATTGTTTTTAAAGACATAGGAAGTAAATGATTTATTCAATAAACTTTATAGTCAACACCTTACAGAGTTAGAACCTGAAACCTCAACTAATTTGGAGGAATGACTTCAAATGGTATCTCTTTTACAACCATGATATAAACATACACTAACATCGAACATTTATACTATGCACTTAACTACTTTGCACATGAAACTGGACTTAAGTGACTGCATTCAACAAAAGTTAAATAAAATCTGACTTTTTTTTCCTCAAGAAAGAGAAGGTAGGTTTTCAGAGCTTACTGTTATGACATGCAATTCAGAGAAAATAAAGCCTGGAGAAGAAAATAAACCCTATATGCTTAAGAGAAAAGAGAAATGCTGTAAAATAGATGTTGAAGGCAGAGCTCAGTTCCCTGTAAGAAAACTCAGGTTACTCTCTTTGACCAGATATTATCAATCCAATTAACCCTTTTTATAGCCCAGGTAGACACATTGTTAACGGTCAATCAATATTTCAATATGACACAAAAATTTTAAGAAGCGTGAAACAGAAATATATGTGACTATTCCAAGTAAGTACACTGACTTTGAAATGTACTAGGGACTACTTGTTAAAAAATTCTCTCAGACTTTCATGGTAGTTCTGCAATAACCTAAATAAATGGTGCAGAACTTTTTAAATAAGGTTTAAAAACAATGAAATTGGCAACAAAGATTGAATGAATTTCTCGTGTATGATTCATGAAATTAGATACTTTTCTTTAAATTAAAAAAAAAAGGCAAACTACACAACAGACAACTAAGAACTTCATAAATTGGAAAAAACCCAAACATAATGGGGTATATTAGCTGAGAAAAAAAAAAAAAACTCTCAATATCAGTGCAAATGCAGAACTGGTTTTCTGAGGACTATGCCTTTCCTTATTTAACATTAGCATCTCTCAACAATATAGTAATGACAATCCTTTAAAAGGAAAGATTCTTAATTGAACACTTGTCATTCCACCCATCTTTTCCGTTTATAGGCACACTTTGAGCTCAAGATTATATCCAGCCAGCCAGAAATAAGGGAAGTTTCAATCCTATCTAGAGGAGTGATCAGCCACAAGTGCTAACTTCAAAGTCGTGACTTTGCAATTTGAACAAGTCAGTTCAGGACACTTCCAACTGTTGTAACTGCCTGCGCAGCAGCGTCTTCTGACCTCAGCAGCTTTGGATTTGGGAGGCACAACCGGGAACTATGAGTCCTGGGGCCACTTGCCCAGGGAAAGGGCCTGCTTCCTTCTGAGCCCTAAGCATGCTCAACGTGACCCCCTTCACAGCCTAAGGCCCTGTCCCCCCCAACCGATTTGTGCCACATAAATAACTCGCAGAACTTGTGAAGAACGTAGAAGGGAGATACGAAATAAGGCAACACTTTTCTGCTGCCAGTTTTCTAGAACCAGATCATACTCACATCTAAGAATGAAGCTATCTGATTTTTGAGGGAGGACGCACTCTCCCAGGAACCTGGCTGCCGCCTGATTTCTAAAGAGTAAGACTCCAGGCTTAGTAGATACCACCACCTACTTTCCGAGGGGGAACACAGACGAAACAGCGTTGGGGAAAAACACATGTAGTAAAGTTCGGGCCACCACCACTTGGCGCGGGTGGGGGTAGACATGAGGAGGAAGGCCAGGGACCGCAGTCTGCTTTCTAAGGGGACACACGCGGGCACAGGTTCAACTCCAGGACCCCCAACAGCCTCCCGCCCAAGACGCTTGAAGGGGAGCACCACCCGGGTGCGGGGGAAGAAGGTGGCGTTCCAGCCAGCCAAACCTGAGCGCTTGATCCGGGCTCTTCGCTCCAACACCTTCCAGTTCACTTCAGCCATGAGCCCCGCCGCCCCCACAACCGCGCCCGGGCCGCCGCCTTGGCCACCGCCCCCGGGGCCGCCTGTCAGCTCCGCCCGGCCGGCCCCGCCCCCCCCCCCCCCCCCCCGCGCGACACTGTCGAGAGGCGCTCCGGCCGGAAGTGAGCGCAAGGGAGATTTTCAACCTAGCTTCGCGGCCTCCCAAACGTCAGAGGTGTAGCTCTAGGGGAGAGTGAGAGGGGAACCGGTGGCGGCTCGTACGAGTGTCGGGGCTGTGCGGTTTCTCTCTCGGCCGGCGGCACGGTGCTTTCCGGCTGCCGTCAAGCGCGGCACTGGGCCGGCGGGCGGGGACCGAGGGGCTGCCATGGCGGCGGCGGGCCGGCTGCCGAGCTTCTGGGCGCTGCTGGCGCCGCTGCTTGGGGGGCTCGCGCTGCTGGGAGTCGGGCCGGTCCCGGCGCGGGCGCTGCACAACGTCACGGCCGAGCTCTTTGGGGCCGAGGCCTGGGGCACCCTGGCGGCCTTCGGAGACCTCAACTCCGACAAGCAGACGGACCTCTTCGTGCTGCGGGAAAGTCAGTGCTTGTCCGGCCCTCCCTCTGTCCGCTGTCCCTGTGCCCCTCCCGGTGTTCCCACACCCCCTAGCCCGGATGGCCGGTCCTCCTGCATTTCCCAGCCCTTCTTTCCCAACCCTGTCTCTCCTTTTATTTCCAGCATCCTTTGCAGCTTGCCTGTTTTCTCCATCTTTTCCAGCCCCGGGTGCTGGCCCGGCCACCCCACAGTTTGATCTACCCACAAGAGCCCTAGAAACACCCCAGGGTTTTTTGTTGTTCCTGAGATGCCTGCGGCCTTCACCCCAGTACCCTCTCTTCCCTGTAGAATCACCTGCTTTCCCAAGTCCTTCCTGATTCCCAGGAGTCTTTGTAGCTTGCCTCTGCCTTCCCTCCCAAAGCCCCTTCATTCCTTTCTGCTTTACTTCCTTCAATCTTCCTTCCCCTTTAATGAATTGGAAAACATGTAACTTGACGGTTTCTTCTCCTACCTCCTCATTTGCCTTATTCGCCAGCCCCTCCCTTTTTCAGGGTCCCAGCTTTCTTTGAAGCTACTGTGCCCCCACTCCAGTGCCCTAAACACTTCACAGCTCACACAAGCATTTTGCGGGGACCATTGATAAACCCAGTGTCTCCTTGGGAAAAGATTGTCAAACTGCAGATTTTTCTCCCTCCTGAGCTATCTAGTCTTACGTGCACCTGACCTTTTCCTCAGTTTGGTCACCACCCTAATCTTCCAAATCTCTGCTTTCCTTGTCAACTTGAGGTTTTAGGAGTTCTTTGCTTTAACCATCACTGAAGAAACTTTATTGTAAATCTTGATGTTGACATTGGGTATTAAATTTTTGTATGACTATTAGGAAAAATAGTGAATATACCAAAGTTTAAAAATTATTTACTTTTTTAAAAAATAAATAAATTTGAGTAGGGTCTTAGCCTTTTGAAGTACACACAAAACTGGGTAGATCAAGGCCACCAAGGACAGAGGTGAAGCAGGTTTATACAGAGCTTAACTAACAGGATCTTGGTCCAGGTTTCTTGTGGCTCTTACCAGTGTACCAGAGCCTCTTGTGGATTCTGGATAGTTTTCCTATTTTTGTATGACTACGTATTTATTGCAAGAAGGGTACATACTGCCAAACCTGTACCTACTCCATCCAAACTAGATACAGAGACTCTCCTCTTAACTTTAAAGATGGCTTGGGTTTAATTAAACAGTTTCAAAAGTCTGTTCCAGTGAGTTCTCATGAATGCATCCACTGAGTTCCGGTGCATCACTTGGGTGATAGTTCCATAGAAGCCACAAGAGGAGGGCCTTGGAGGACTCAACTTTTTCTTAAATATGTAATCATGTCCTTGTTACTAGTCAGATACCTACAGTAGGAGTTCCTGTTTCCTGGTGCAATGCATCTGTGTGATAAACTAAACAGCTTTATAAGAGGTCATGTTGGTAGGTCTGGGGAGACAGGCTTGACATATACTATAGTTAAAAGGCATGTTCTTTATATGGTTCTTTTAAGTCACCAGATCTGATTCCTGGCAAAAGCCATTGGCCTCGGTTTGTTTTGACAACTGTGTTTTCCCTGTTCATCCTTCCTGTTTCTGTGCCACTTTTTTTAACACTGAATTTGTGATATTCTGTTAGGTATTCCCATTCCATCAGACAAGTAGGACTCACCTTGAAAGGGCAGAGGAACTGGAGTAAAATAAGGTTTTTTGTTAATAACAGAACCCAGAAAGCTTTTTGTAACCACTAATTGGAGGTATTACCTGGAAATATTTCTCTAATAACGTATATTCACTTCTTTTAGGAAATGATTTAATCGTCTTTTTGGCAGACCAGAACGCACCCTATTTTAAACCCAAAGTAAAAGTGTCCTTGAAGTAAGTACAAATGTATCCGTTCCTGTAAAAACAATCATTATTGTAATGATTGATATGCAATAGCTAGTTGGATTGTCTTTGAAATCAATTTTACTCAATTGTGTTGACAGAAAACCACTGGTTATGAGGTGTGAGTAGCAAGTAATTTGTTAGGAAAAATAGTGAATATACCAAAGTTTAAAAATTATTTACTTTTTTAAAAAATAAATAAATTTGAGTAAATCAGGTCTGTTCCTGCATAAACACCCTTCATTCTCTTGCAATCTAATACCCCTTCTTGAATGTGTTGGAGATTATCCCTCATCCTGAGTGTGCACATGGGAGCAGCTCATTCACAGGCTTATCAGGTCAACTATGTGTTGAGAGCGGGAGGGGGAAATTTGCACTGGGAAAAGGTCAGTGACCTCTGTTCTAATTTCTTTTTGTCTGACTAGTAGGTGGTGGGTTTTTTAAGGTTTATTTTGAAGAAATTTAAATCAAGCTGAATTTTGTAAATGTTCAAATAATAGTTCTTATTTTTATTTTATGTGACTGGCATTGCCTGAAACTCAGTGATCATCATCAATAGTGAGCCAGCACAGTTTTGAAACATCAAGAAGCAAGGATTGATTGATGACTGGTTCAAGGAAGAAAACATGAGTTAGTGCAGACTAAAGTGGAAACTTGTAGAAAGTTACAGGATTTCAGTGACCTTCAGTATAATTTAGGTGAGGGTTTTCAAGTTTGGGGACACAATGTTAGCAAGAGATGGCAGTACGCATGTTGTGAAGAGGAGGTGGAAAGATTTACCTAACAGAAGTGGACGGTATACTTTGGAGAGGTACGGACCAAGAAGATGAGATCAGGGCAGACTAGGAACCTTTATAAATATCACAAAGAGTTTGAACTCAATCCCATGAAAAGTGGGGAATCATTATAGGTTCTTGTTTAAAGGAGCAATGAAGAAAATGGTATTTTAAGTTGATTTAATTGTTAACCATGTACAGGATGAATTGGTTTGTAGAAAGATAAGAGATTACTAAGGAAACAGTTTAAAAAAATATGTAAGTCCCTTTGTGGGCTAATGACTGCTCGGACTGTACAATATTTAAACTCAGACATATGTTTAAAAAAAAATGGCCTTGAGTTAGAACATTGAGAGGAAAGTTTTAAATGGACAAACAGGAACTATCCCTCTTGAGAAATTTTCCTAGTACTGGCTGTCAGCATGCTTGGAGTGGGCAGGGAACAGAAGTTGATAAATATTATATACAGGAAATGACCTCCTTAGAAGTGATTTTTCTTGGAAAGAAATGTTTGAACTACAAAGGACTAGGGTTCCACCAAGTTTAAAAAAAAAAATCCCAATTCGTTTAATTTTCTTTGATGAATGCAGTGTTGTTTTATATACTATTGAAATTTAGAAACTTGTTTTTATTTTGTTTAGAATATTTTTCAAAGAAAAAACAACTCTCCTTCACTCTTTTCTTCCCCTATTCCCCTGTTCTTCTCTCAGATGGAACCACTTATAAAACCTTCAGGTATTTTTTCTGAGGTTTATTTCCATATTTTAAAATAAGCATTTACACTGTAATTTCTTGAGTAATTATCTTCTTCTCTTGGATTTTTGTTAGCATAGATGAGGGTTTGCCATCTTTAAATTAGCCCCATCATCTCAATATCATTATATCATATTTTTAGCTAAATCAGTAAACATCATTTACATTTTGACCATGTAGATTGTATGCACTTCAGAACTGACCAGTACACAGTGATTTCATTTCTGTAGAGTTTTTCCTCCTGGAGTAAAGATTGATTTTTAAAAAATCAATTGCATAGTTTTCTATGTACCTATCCTTAATTTCTTGGTAGATGTTCCATCATATTGGCCGAATACCTATTGTTCATTTTTGTTTTCCCCTTTGAGTCATCTACACTTCTACCCAATCTGGATTCATTCTTTAAGCCTCCTGCAAGGTTAGTATTTGGGGATTTTCCCTTTGTCATTCTTTGTTGGATCCCCCTTTCTTGGATCCTGTGCCATTTTATTCTTAGCGTCTTCATTAACTTCACTGGAGTGCATCCTTCAGGAAATTCCTAAGAAAGAGTGTATGCGTTCTCCTTCCATGTCCCCAGTTTTTTTTTTATTTTTAATACTTTGGTTGGCCTATAGTCTTCTAGCTTTGTGGGGTGCTATTTTAAAATCCAGTGCTTTTTTTTTCCCCCAGTCCTTCTAATGTGACTTATTTTATTTTTCCTTTTGGAAGCTTTTAGGGTCTCTTCTTTATCCCTTTTGCACTGATATTTCATGATGATGTGTCTTGATATAGATTATTTTTCATTTATTACACTGGGTATTAAGTGGGCCCCTTCAAACTGGAGGCTTCTATCCTTGGGGGCTTTTTGAAATGTTCTTATTTCTTTAGTAATTTTTTTATTCTATTTCAGGAATTCTTATCAGTTTGGTTTTGCACCACCTTTATTCTTTTATTTTATTTGTGTTTTTGTCATTTCATTTTGTTTTCCTTTCCAGGAGGTTTTCTCATTTTTATTTGAAGCCTGCTATTGAATTTTTGGTTAGTGGTAATATTTTTTATCTCCAAGAAGTTTTCTTTGTTCTCTTATTATTCTTTCCTCTTAACATGCTGTTCCTTTTTTGTTTTATAGACATACTTCCTTCTCTTATGTCTTCAAGTGTAGATTTGAGGTTTTGTTATTCCCCTTACTATCTCTCTTTTCTTCAGATTCCTTATTGCTATTTGTTTTGGCTCTCTTTAATATTCAGTTTTCTTCAAAAAGCAGGTGTATCATATTTAATAGTATGGCAATAAAGAGCTGATTGGAAACTCTTTGCATGGTAGGACTTGTCTCCTGTCTCTTGCCCTGTGGCAAGACTGACATCCAAGGAATAGGGTAGAGCTGGGGGCAAGGGTCAAATTGTTCTTTCTGTAGACTTACCATTAACTCCCTGTTTTTAGCTTAAGTCCCAAACCTTACCCTCTGCTGTAACTTAAATCTGTAATGCCTGGTTAATAAACTGCTTGGTTCTTGTCTTGCTGAGAAAGAGAGACAATGGACCATCACTCACAATACAGACTTTCAGATAAACCTGTTTTCAGCCTTCTGTATCACCCTTATCTTTCACAATTTCTGATGACTGCAAATTCTGAGCCTCTCAGGTATTCTTCTGGGCAAAAGCTTTCCTTCTTAAGCCTTTTTCTTCAAACATTTTAGCTTATAATTTCCTTGTCCTCATAAGTCAGTTAGCATTCCCTGCATTCCCTATCTCCCTTTATGATCTCTTTGTTTTTGAGGGTTATATTTTTTTTACTTCATTCTGTATCATTTTAGTGGGTTCTTTGAAAGAAGAAAAGATAAACACATATGTCAATCTCGTATCTTTAAACCTTCTATTTCCTATTTTTACAGCCATAAAGAAGCTGGGCATTTGTGGCTATATAACCTAATCAGGTTATAGACAGGTATTACTGCCAAATAAGTTCAATATGTGTTCCTGGGTATGCATCTGTAGGCACATGCACATGAAGAGACCTCCACAGTTAGATACAGTTTGCTACATAGTAGCATGGGTGGTTGCGATATCATTTTTAAAGACCAGGTATTTTCATGGAAAAGTTAAAGTATTGTTGGGATTACTTGAGGAAACTAGTATTACCAAAACGATTTTATCATAATGAAGATCAGTTTTAGAGGCTGACAGAATTTGAATTTCAGCTATTCCACTTAGCTATTAGCTAATTAGCTAGTTAGTTGTTGGCTTTCAGCTTTAGCTTTTTAATTGCTTCAAACCTCCATTTCCTGGTCAGTTCAATGGGAATGATAATTCAGGTGATGAAAATTAAATTATCAGCTAATAGCTATTAAGCATTGATGAAATGTATAGGACAGAATAGGTAGATGCATTATGATGAAACTATTGTTTTTCTTCAGTCCGCTTAACCTTGCTTAACTTTTCAGTATTTTTCTCATTTTCACCTTAAATAAAACCTGTTATATATATTTTTAGATTCTTGATGCCATTTACAAAATAGTTATCTCTAGTCTATTGGAAAACTTGCTGTCTTGCTATTTGCTCTAAGTGGAATTAAATAAAGATTGAACTTAAGGCCTATTTTTTGGTTGGGTCATTCAAACATTAAGACAAGACATGTTTTAAGTTTTCAAAGTTAATATAAATAATTTCAGAATTATTTCATTATTAAAATATAAAATTAAGTATGTGTGTTTTGATAGCATATTGCCAAGTTGGATAAAAAGAACTTATTTACCATTGTGAATCTTGAATATTTTTCAGAAATAAAATGATTACTTAATCTTCACATCTGCATTAAACCCAAAATTAAGTATTTTACAAATTTAACCTTTTAACTGATAAAATGGCAGTGATACCCCTTGTTGCCTTAACAATTGATTATGAGCCTCCATTTCTTATAAACCAGCCAATGCATTGGTGTCCTTGACAAAAGAACTAAGTAAAAGGACTATATTGGCTAGTGTAAGAATATAAAACTGTTCTTTCTTTTGAAATATTTCAGATTTTTGTCTCTACAATCATCCTGAATTATTTTGTAGATCAAAGAGGCCTAAATACATGAAGGATGATAAGAAATTAAAGAAGAGAATGAAATGAGAATCAGTTCTATGATTTTAAATTTTGCATTGAAAATATCTGTGTGTAGTACAAACATAGAGATGTCCTTTTCTATTATAGCTTGACTAGATACCTTAAAATGTGTGTTTCTTTTAGGAATCACAGTGCATTGATAACAAGTGTAGTCCCAGGGGATTATGATGGAGATTCACAAATGGATGTCCTTCTTACATATCTTCCCAAAAATCATGCCAGCAGTGAATTGGGAGCTGTTATCTTCTGGGGACAAAATCAAACATTAGGTGAATTTGTTTTTTAAGAGTTTTTAATATTTATCATTGGATATTAAAGGAAGACTATGCCTGTTATTCCTAGGTAAATATAACAAAATTATTGTTCTGAAATCAGTTCAGTAATGAATTTCTTAAGACTCAGTAATGGCCTGTAAAAACATTTTTAAAAGTCATATTTCTGATTTTTCTTTTTCAACCCAGGGCTAGTCTGAGGTCAGTTCCAGAGAACAGATTCCACTCTTGCTAGCTTTAGGAAGAGAGAGATTTATTAAAGGGTTTTATGGCCTACATAATTACTGGGAGAGCTGGAGAACAGACTCTAGGTTGAACTTTCAGGAACAATCCTCAAAGCCATCAAGCATGGCTTTTTACCGTCAGAACACTGCCAGTTGCACCACAGCTGCTAGAATGACACTGTCTGCCGTGACCCTCAGCAGCCAGGGGGATGCCCTGCACCCTGCCTCTTGAGGCTTTAGTGACCAGACACTGAAGTAGAACTCCTGCCTCCCAGAACTCAGAGTGTATCTGGTTGGCAAGGCTTACATTTTATTCAGAATCTCAGATGCAGGGATAGGTGAGAAATGCTATTGTGGGTTTCTAGTCTCCCCACTATAGGAAAACACAAAAGGGTTGGAGTGGAGGCTGAGAGTCAGTCTACCATATCCACCCGAAAACCTTCAAGACTTACCTGAAAAGCCAATTAATTATACCCAAACAGATAACTGTTCATGGACCAGATTTCAAGGCAGGGTAGAAGGGCTGCAGTTGTGTTTTCTGTAACATTTGAGAACATAAGCAGTAGTCTCAGTACTTCAAATTCATTCAGTCAGTAAATATCTAAAGAAATAGTACCATGTGAAAAGCATTTCATGTATGTAAGCATGGACATTTTAGAGTCAAGTACTTTTGTGCATGTTGTCAACTGCTCTAGTGCTAAATTGTATTTACAGAAGACTCACCTAAGAGATTTTTAGATTGAAGCCTCTAAAGAAAGTTATTGTAATGGTGCTCTTAACTATAGAATGAACCCCAGTATTTTGTCCTTACAAACTTGATGTCCATTAAGTTATAGTGTCTTGTTAATAGTAGTAGTTGGAATTAATTATAGATGAATCTTGAAAAGAATAAAGGTATTTTACCCCAAGTGTAGATATCGAAAATAATATAAAGTGCCTGCTGATTTATATATTTTCTCTCTATACAGATCCTAACAATATGACTATACTCAATAGGACTTTTCAAGATGAACCACTAATTTTGGAGTAAGTATGTGCTTGCTTCCCTTTGAATGATTTTAAACTAACAAACATAAAATTTCTCATATAAGAGACTACTTTGCAAAGTAGCATTGACACTAAATTCATTCTCCCTTTGAAACTGATAGAGGCTTATACTCTTGACTATATGACATTTACTTGCCATGATGGAGGAAAGAGAAAAATGAAATTCAATATTTTGGAAAGAGGAAGAAATTTGTGTTCTTGTTTCAGTAGCTTTCAATGTGTCCATTATGGATCTATGTTGATTGTAGCCATGTCATTACTCAAAATAATTAAGGTAACTGTTTTAGGGTAATACTGTTAGTGCTTGATTGACAGAATGCTATGGGCTCTTCTCCAGAGATTTAGAAAAATGTCTGTATTAAGGAGAAACTTACCTTTTTTTAAAGCTCTTCTTTAGTGTTATCATTTATTTCTCAAAATACACTCATGTACTAGGATAAGTGTCATCCAAATTCCTGTCAGGACATTTGGTAATGATACAGAGATCATTGGGGGAGCTAAAGCTATGTACAGCCACTTTCTTATTTCCACTGCTGCCTTTCGTACAGTTATTAAAATAATAGTCCTGTATCAATACGCCAGTGGCCCTTAGAAGTCTCAACTATAAATTCATGGATTAATCTTCTTAAAGGCCCTCAGCTTGATTGCTTTCATAGTTGTGTATTTTTTCATTGTTGTTGCAATATATAATGGCCAGTATGAATTTTTACACCAGCTGGGGATTACTTTTGTGGGTTATTTCTCCTAAACCCACCTAACTACATCGGTTGGGTCTCAAATAAGTGCTGTCTTCTTACCACTCAGGAATAGATGAGGTTATGCAGAAACTAAAGATGACCCTAACATTTCACAACAAAAGTTCATCTCTTGCTTACGCTGCCTGTCTAGTGTGGGTCAGTGATAGGCTCAGCTCTGTGCCATCACTCAGTCAGGTGTCAGAGGCCCCATTATCTGTGGAGCTGGACCACCTGAAACCCATGTTCCTCTCCTTGCCACTGCCAAGCTTAAAGCAGGCTGGAGGGTCCAGTAATAAATAATAAACCCTTTTGCCTGGAAGTAACACATGTCTAACACTCTGCTAACATTTTATTGACTACAGCAGAAACTGGTGAGCATTGTGATGTTGACCACACCTCCCAAAGGTTATTTTCCTTTTAAAGCTAGAACATGAGAATTTTACAAAATAGCTGCTTAATGTTTTTAATGTTTTCTTTTCAGCTTCAATGGTGATTTAATTCCTGATGTATTTGGTATTACAAATGAATCCAGCCAGTCACAGATACTATTGGGAGGGTGAGTAAATATGATTATAACCATGTCATTAATTGTACTTATTGCTGCTACAGGATCTGTGTGTCTATGTGAACTGATTGCTTTAACCATTAGGAGAAAACTCAGCTCATTGGAAATCCTTGCTCTTAAAGATTTTTAAAAGGGCATTTGGTTGACATATAAGCTTTCTCAAACAGTTTAGGATTTGATCTGCAACTGCTCTCTAGGTAGAGCCAGCTTAATCCATTTATCCCTGTGGAAATTAGAGATATAAACTTTGCAGATCCCCATTTGAATATTGGTTCTTTAGATGTTTTTAGGAAAAATTTAATTTAAATAGGATAGCCGCAGTCTTAATTGAATTCTCCACCTTAGTCATGGTAGCTCTGAGACTCTTACTGATAAGCCTGTTCCTTCTCCCTTTTGTTTGTTCAATGAGCAATCAATAATTGCCTGAGAATGTAAACACTCCTTCTCTGGGCTCTGGAAACTTTTCTGTGTGTACTTTATCCTTGACCAATATGTGTCCTAGGATTCTCTTACTACCCATGCATGCCACTCTTTTGAAAAACTATATCGCTCGGCATCAGGGAAATCCAAATCAAAACCTCAATGAGATACCACCTCACACCAGTCAGAATGGCTCAAATTAACAAGTCAGGAAATGACAGATGTTGGTGGGAACGCAAGCTGGTGCAGCCACTCTGGAAAACAGTATGGTGGTTCCTCAAAAAGTTGAAAACAGAGCTACTATACGATCCAGCAATTGCACTACTGGGTATTTACCCCAAAGATACACATGTAGGGATCCGAAGGGGTACGTGCACCCTGATGTTTATAGCAGCAATGTCCACAATAGCCAAACTGTGGAAAGAGCCAAGATGTCCATCGACAGATGAATGGATAAAGAAGAAGTGGTATATATATACAATGGAATATTATGCAGCCATCAAAAGGAATGAAATCTTGCCATTTGCAACGATGTGTTTGGAACTGGAGGGGTTATGCTGAGCGAAATAAGTCATTCAGAGAAAGACATGTATCCTATGACCTCACTGATATGAGGAATTCTTAATCTCAGGAAACAAACTGAGGGTTGCTGGAGTGGTGGGGGGTGGGAGGGATGGGATGACTCGGTGATAGACATTGGGGAGGGTATGTGCTATGGTGAGCGCTGTGAATTGTGTAAGACTGATGAATCACAAACCTGTACCTCTGAAACAATATGTTATATGTTAAAAAAAAAAAAAAAGATAGCAGGAAGGGAAAAATGAAGGGGGGAAAATTGGAGGGGGAGATGAACCATGAGAGACAATGGACTCTGAGAAACAAACTGAGGGTTCTAGAGGGGAGGGGGTGGAGGGATGGGTTAGCCTGGTGATGGGTATTAAAGAGGGCACGTACTGAATGGAGCACTGGGTGTTATATGCAAACAATCATGGAACATACATCAAAAACTAATGATGTAATGTATGGTGATTAACATAACATAATAAAAAAAAAACTATTTGGAATCTTGCAATTCAAAGATAAAATTCCTCTAGACTTAAATAGAACTGGCCTCCTAACATTTAAAGCAAGATACTTTTCATGAGATGCCTTCAGCTTGGTTAATTTTTTATTTGTCTGATAGGGCAGGAATTTAGTTCAGGAGTACAGAACGTGGGGCACCTGGATGGCTCAATCGGTTAAGTGTCTGACTCCTGATTTCAGCTCAGGTCATCATCTCATGAGTAGTAGGATGGAGACCTGCATCAGGCTCCACTGCAAGTCCTGCTTGTTTGCCTTGGGCTGGGACTATTCAGGAAACTCTTTTCATTTCCTCTCTTTAATGGCATACATGTGGGAGGCGACTGGCTGACTCATTTGGAAGAGCATGCAACTCTTGATCTTGGGGTCATGAGTTCCAGCCCCCAGGTTAGGTGTAGAGAAAACTTGGGGCACCTGGTGGCTCAGTTGGTTGAGCATCTGACTTGTGGTTTTGGCTCAAGTCATGATCTCAGGGTCATGGGGTCTGGCTGCATGCTCAGCAGGGAGTCTGCGTGAGATTCTCTCTCTGCCTCTCCCTCTGCCCTTCTGCCCGCCACGCTCATCTGTGCATGCACTCTCTCAAATAAATATATAAATCTTTAAAAAAATAAAAAATAGGGGCGCCTGGGTGGCTCAGTTGGTTAAGCGACTGCCTTCGGCTCAGGTCATGATCCTGGAGTCCCGGGATCGAGTCCCACATCGGGCTCCCTGCTCGGCAGGGAGCCTGCATCTGCCTCTGACCCTCCCCCCTTTCATGTGCTCTCTCTCTCTCATTCTCTCTGTCTCAAATAAATAAAAAAATAAATAAATAAAATAAAATAAATTAAAAAAATAAATAAAAAATAAATAAAAACTTAGAAATAAATAAATAGATAAATAAAGGCATACATTGTGATTGAGAACGTGATGGTGACTCCTGGCCTGCTTTATTTCACAGTAACCTCCATTTTAGTCAAAGAAATACTTCAAATACCTTTAATATGTAATTTGACCTTTAGAAATTAAAACTTTTGAAACAGCTATTGTTAATTCAGAAAGTAAAATTTCTAATATCTTTATGGGTTTTCTACTTAATCTATATGAAAACTATTTAGAATATCATGTGATAGTGTCATAGCTTATTTACTTGTTCTGAATTCTGCATTAGATTTTTTTCTCTGATGCTTACTGAAAAATGATAGCTTTAAAAACTTACTATGCCTAGAGACATATTCACTTTTATTTTTTAGACGTTATACTCTGGTATATTTCGGTATACGTGAGTAATATTCTGGTATTTTATTCTCATTTAAACTTTCATTTACAGATTAAACAATAATAGCTAGCTGTATTATAAATAACAAGTTTGCCTACAAGATTTATTCTGATGCTAGTTTAAAGAATGAAATTACATAAATTGGCAGAAAAGAATTCCTGTCGTTAGCATGGTTGGGATAACTGTAACCTAGCAATATCATGATTCCAGACAAAAGAAAGCTGAATATGGGAGCAAGCATTAATGTGTTACTAAAATAAGAAAAATGTATTTAGGCCATATCACTTTTACAAGTTACAGACATATGTACTGGTACATAAGTAAAAAAGTCATCAGCATTGACATTTTGGACTATTGTGACCTTGACTGGCAGCCCAATCTTTTTTTTTTTTTTTTAAAGATTTTATTTATTTATTCATGAGAGACAGAGAGAGAGAGAGAGAGGCAGAGGGAGAAGCAGGCTCCCAAGGAGCAGAGAGCCCGATGCGGGACTCGATCCCAGGACCCTGGGATCATGACCTGAGCCGAAGGCAGACGCTTAACCATCTGAGCCACCCAGGCACCCGACTGGCAGCCCAATCTTATCAAGAAACCTAACCTACCGGGGCGCCTGGGTGGCTCAGTCGTTAAGCATCTGCCTTCTGCTCAGGTCATGATCTCAGGGTCCTGGGATCGAGCCCCACATCGGGCTCCCTGCTCCACAGGAAGCCTGCTTCTCCCTCTCCCACTCCCCCTGCTTGTGTTCCCTCTCTCGCTGTGTCTCTCTCTGTCAAATAAATAAATAAAATATTTTAAAAAAAAAGAAACCTAACCTACCTTTTGCAACTTAAATGTTGTGCTTTATGGGTATGGCAGACCCAAGATTATCTTAAATTTAATTAAATTTTGCCAGAACCTTAATTTTATGGGAAATTTACAATGATCTTTAAATAGAGTACTAAATGCTCCCATAAGATTGCGTTGAAAAGCCCACAGCTGTAACCCGGTCCAATGCAGGCATGGAAATAGGAGATTGCCCACAAGTAAAACTAGCATGACTGATTTGGCTGGAGTAAATGTACACATTGTCAGTCTAAGGAGGCAATGATAATAAGCAGAAGGATCCTTTTTAATTGGTACAGTGGGGGCTATCTAACAAGGACAGGAAGGGTACTAAATCTACTTAGGTGCCAGAGATAATTGAACTATGTTAAATGGTCAAAGGTGAGGCTTCAGTTTGTGTCTCAACCTCACTTTATAATGACTTGAAATAATGTAATCATGTGCCACGTTACTTAGAAATAACACCTAGCCATTAAATGGCAGAGCAGCTTTCGCAGTGATGTGAGGTTATAATTAATGAGTATTTTCTATAAAAGAGAATTTGAAACTGATGTTGCGTAAGCATTCAGAATATTTAGTATTGATGTGAAAACATTTGTACCTGTAATTTTAATCAAAGCCAAATATAATATTGGTCTGTTCAAATTTCTGTGACTCATCTACTGAGTTCAAACATATTTCTGGTTTAGGCCCAAGTTGTATACTTGGGAATATTAATGTAGGTATGTGACAGATAACTACTTTGACATATACTCCATTTACTTCACAAGTGATTGCATAAAAATTTTGAATGGATATTAATGGCACTGAAAGCAGCCATTTTTAACTGTTAGTTATATGGATGGATATTTTTCTCTGCTGCCAGAAAAAAACTGTATCTTCTATTTATTTATTATTTATCTATTTATCTATTTATTTTGATTTCTGCTATTGACTATAGCTATAATTACAGTGGAACAGAAAATTATATTATTTCAAAATGTAGAACCAAAAGTTTTTTTGTTTTTTTTCTTTTTTTTATTATTATGTTCAATTAGCCAGCATATAGTACATCATTAGTTTTTGATGTAGCGTTCAACAATTCATTAGTTGCGTATAATACCCAGTGTTCATCACCACATGTGCCCTTCTTAATACCCATCACCCGGTTACCCCCCACACACCCCTTCCTTCTGTAACCCTCAGTTTGGTTCCCAGAGTCCAGAGTCTCTCAGGGTTTGTCTCCCTCTCTGATTTCTTCCTATTCAGTTTTCCCTCCCTTCCCCTGTGGTCCTCTGCGCTATTCCTTACGTTCCACATACGAGTGAAATCATATCATAATTGTCTTTCTCTGCTTGACTTATTTCACTTAGTGTCTTCTATTTAAATATAGTTAGCTACTCAATCCAAGAGGCATAAATCCCTATTTTTCCAT